ATAACTATAAACACACTAAACACAGTTGAATTGTATACTTCAGAGGGTGAATTGTATGGGATGTGAATTATATCTCAAGAAAGCTATTACCAGGAAAAAATTAGGCTGGGTACGGTAGCTCATGCCAGTAATCCCAGCACTTCGGGAGGCCAAGTCAGGAGGATTATGAGGTCAAGAGTTTGAGACCATCCTGGTTGACATGGTGAAACCCTGTCTGCTAAAAATACAAAAATTAGCTGGGCCTAGTGGCATGGACCTGGTGGTGTGAGTCTGTAGTCCCAGCTACTGAGGAGGCTCAGGCAGGAGAATTGCTTGAACCCGGGAGGCAGAGGTTGCAGGGAGCCAAGATCTTATCACTGTGCTCCAGCCTGGGGACAGAGTGAGACTCCATCTCAAAAAATAAAATTTCCTTTAAAAATTTATAGGATTAGTGTTTAAATATAGGTCTTTCCATTCCTAAAATAAATACTTTTAACTGCTCTACCACTCTGCCTTATTTGCCAATTCGCTAGACTCAGAGGGGCTCTTTACCTCCCTGCATTCAACACACAAACTCCTTTTCCTCTCCTACCCTGCCCTTGAGCACCAAAAAGCTCCAGTAACACGGTTTCTTCTTTTTTTAATATTTTATTTTATTTTATTTTATTTCCATGAAAACAGAAGCACTGTATGGTTTTTTCTTTCTAAGCACAGTGGTACCCAGCTCAGTCACTCCTCAAAAGCGCTTAAGTACCTACAATCCAAAGTCCAATCTCTTTCCCTGAGTTATGAAAAAAGGGAAAATAAAATAAAGTCATCCAATCTCCTTAACCTGGAAACCAAGGACTCTCAAGATCTGGCACCATCTTTGTTTTCCTAGGACCCTACTCCACGTGGCCAAACAAATCTCCCTGTCCTTCCTTGAGTCATGTCCTTTCCTTCTGTCCCTGTACTTGCAAAACCCACTCTCCACCCCTCCACTGCATGGCTAAATCCTGACTGTCTGCACTGATGCTACCTGGCACTGTCTCTGAGTTCAAAGAATCACATACCCATGCACGATCATGAATTGCACTTCCTCCAAGCTCTCCTGGGTCTCTATCCCTCTACACATTTCTCCCTGTATAAAAGTGCTTAGACAGATATTCCTTGAGGACTACATAGTTAACAACACAGTGTCTGGCACATAGCGGTACTCACAAAAGTCACACCAAACCCACTGAAGTGAATTCAATCTTGACTCCAATCATCCCACTGCTCTCTTCTCCCTAGTAACTAGAAACACTAAACTACAGGCAATTTAGACATGATGTTTAGAATTATAATGAATGAAAACTGGTTACAGTCACATTCACTTCATGTAAGTTAACCTCTGTGAGCTCTATTGCCTTGACTACCCAGCTGTTGGTTGGCATACCCTGCTCAGCCCAAGGGGTGGAAATGTTCCCCTAGCACAGTGATGTCAGCTGCAGTTAAAGGAAGAGAATGAGATCAGGACCTGAAGTACCAGCAACTTCTTGAGTGATTCAGGCTACCATCTCAAGGGGGCCCTCTCCTGCCTATTCCTGAACTCCAACTGAGACAGCCACGGGGTTGGGAAATCCAAGGGGGTGTGCTACAGTTGTGCTCTGACAAGGTGTCAGCAAAGAGAGCCAGACAGAGTTAGGCCAACCCCTTCTCTGTGTTTCCCATGATTGCTTCATTGTAAATGCCTCTTGATTTCCTAACCACTGCTGCCCCCAGTGCCCTAATCTGCCACACCCTATGATACACAAACCCTACCCTATATAGCATTAGAAATACATCCCAGCACTATGGGAGGCCAAGGCAGGCAGATCACGTGAAGCCAGGAGTTTGAGACCAGCCTGGCCACCATGGTGAAACCCCATCTCTACTAAAATAAAAAAATTAGCCAGGTGTGGTGGCATGCACCTGTGATTTCAGCTACTTAGGAGGGAGGCTGAGGCAGGGGAATTGCTTCCACCTGAGAGGCAGAGGTTGCAGTGAGCTGAGATTATGTCACTGCACTCCAGCCTGAGTGACAGAGTGAGACCCTGTCTTAGAAAACAAAAACAAACCAAAAAAATGTGATTTTAATTTTCTAGTAGCCAAATTTTAAAACGTAAAAATAAATAGGTGGAATTAATTTTAATAATACATTTATTTTATGATCAGCCACAGTGGCCCACTCCTGTAATCCCAGCAGTATGGGAGGCTGAGGCAAGAGGATAGCTTAAACTCAAGAGGTTGAAACCAGCCTAGGCAACATAGTAAGGCCTCATCTCTACAAAATAATAATAATAGGCTGGGTGCCGTGGCTCCCACCTGTAATCCCAGCACTTTGGGAGGCCAAGGCAGGCAGATCACCTGAGGTCAGGAGTTCGAGGCCAGCCTGGCTAACATGGTGAAACCCATAAAAAATTAGCCAGGCATGGCGGTGCATGCATGCAATCCCAGTTACTCAGGAGGCTGAGGCAGGAGAATCACTTCAATCCAGCGGGCAGAAGTTGCAGTGAGCTGAGATTGCACCATTGCACTCCAGTTTGGGCAACAGGAGTGAAACTCTTGTCATTATAAAAATAATAAAAATGATAACTAATAATAATGTATTCTGTCTAGTCCCGTATACACAAACTATTAGTACCTGAATGTATAATAAGAATTAAAATAATTTTTTTTTCATATGGAATCTTACTCTGTCACCAGGCTGGAGTGCAGTCGCACGATCTCAGCTCACTGCAATCATGAGTTCAGTCAATTCTCCTGCCTCAGCCTCCCGAGAAGCTGGGACTGTAGGCACCCACCACAATACCCAGCTAATTTTTTGTGTTTTTTAGTAGGAACAGGGTTTCATCATATTGGCCAGGATGGTCTTGATCTCCTGACCTCGTGATCCCCCAAACCTTGGCCTCCCAAAGTACTAAGATATTAGGCATGAGCCAGCATACCTGTCCCAGTATAAAAATTATTAATGAGATGTTCTACATTCTTTTTTCCACACTAACTCCTCAAAATCTAGTGTTAACTTCATACTTGCAGCACATCTGAAATCAGACAAGCCACATATCAAGTGCCCAACAGTGACATGTGGCTAGTGGCTACTGTGCTGGAGAGCTTAGTGTTAGTATCAGACAGCTTAGCGCCTGTGCCTTGAGCAGTACTGTCTCTGAGGGCCTAACCAGAGCTTCCTGTGCCCTGAACCAAATTTATGTCTAGACCAATCCTCTTTCCTGTGCTCTAGGCTCAAAGAGCCAGCTATCTGTTTGTCATCTCCACTTTCCTGTCTTACAGAAATCTCTGTAAGTTCATCAAAACTGCATTTGTATTTTCCTCCCCAAAATTTATCTTCCACAATCCACTCCAACTCAGTCAATGGCACCACAATCCAGCCAGTTGCTGGAGGTAAAATCCAAGGAGTCACGCTTTTCCTTCATCCAAATGGTCATAAAGTCCTGTCAATTCCACCCATATGTATATCTATTCACCTGAGTACATCTCCACTACTATTGCCCTGGTCCAGGCCACCATCATCTGGACTACAAAATGATTCCTAACTAGTTTCACTCCTACCTTCCCACCTTCTCACTCCACGTCCACACAGAGCAGCCAGAGGGATTGCACCACTCCCCTACCCACATTCCTCTACCAGCTTCCTGATGCCTTCTAGTAAATTCCAAACTCCTGGCCTAGCTTTGCCACACCCTTCACAACTTGCTCCCTGCACCTCGCTGCCTATGATTCTCCCACCAGCCACATGCCTCAAATCTGCTAAGCTTGTTTTCACTTCCTGGTCCCTCTCTCTAGAATGCCCTTCTTCCAGACCATTGCATGGCTGGGTCCTTCTTATCATTCAGGTCTCTGAGGGGACTTCCAAAAAGTCATGGCATGTACAAGAAAGATAGATATAGTGATTTGCATGAAGGTACAACATGAAAATACTGTCATTTAAAAAATATTTTTGCATGAAACAAGCAGTTCAATTCAAGGTTAAATTCCATACTAAAGTATAGCTTTTAAATGGAACCCCGTGTTATTTAAGAGTGTGATTTGGCGGGGGAGGGACTGTGGGGTGATGGTTCTCAATTTCCTTTCTCCTGTTAGTGAAGCAAGATCTAAACCAAATGTTTTGAAGCTTATCAGAAACAAGATAATTTAAAACATATACAGTAAGGATTGGGAATATACTGACATGGTAACTGGGAACATACTGACATGGTAAGTGAGAAAAGCATGGCACGTGAAAGGTATACTGTGGCTGCCTGGTGGACACTGTGATTCAAGGGAGGGTAGGGGTCAGCTGTCAGTGGTGGCTGACTGCTGTGACCACCTGGGAGTGTCAGGATGGTTGTCCCATGTTTTGTATATCAGAATACAATGCTTTAGAAATTATCTTAACTAGAGTAAATACTCTAAATTAAGTCTTACTTCTTGGTCACATGGCTTCTAGAATGGAAGCTTCACTATTAGAAAATTACTGAGGACATGAGGCTTTAGGAAAAGAGAAAGCAGGAAACGTATAGTAAATGGGTCTTGTGGCCTCCCCATAGTTTGGCATTTCACAGCTTTTTACAGAATGTCAGGCCACTGTAATGACACAGTGTAGGGCCTTTACAGAATGCTTTCTCTCCCTCAGCAATACATAGTTCAGGTACTGAGGTACTTATATGTCTTTCCATGGCTTGAGAGCTCATTTCTTTCAGCACTGGGTTCTATTCCATCATCTTAACATAGCACAGTTTATTTATTAATTCACTTACTGAAGAACATCTTGGTTGCTTCCAAGTTTTCAAAACTCGTAGCCATCTTATTGTCTTAATTTGCAATTCTCTAATAGGTTTTTCATATGCTTATTTGCCAGATTTATGTATTCTTTGTTAGAGTTTCAGTTCAAGCCTTTTGCCCATTATTTAATTAGACTTCTCCTTTCCTTTTCTTGAGTTTCAAGTGTCGTTATATTTTAATTTTTTTTTTTAGAGATTGGGTCTCACTATGTTGCCCAGGCTTGTCTGTGAAACTTCTAGCTAGGCACAGGGGAGAAGCGGTGGAGGCCCTGGTCCCAGCCTTTCTGCATAGAATCATCTCCTGCTATGCCATCTGTCTGGGGCCTTCCTGGAACTTTATTCCTGTGCCCAACTTCGTTGAGAAGATATTTTTCCTTCAATGTAGAAGCCTCGTGGATGCTCTTTGGATGACTGTCACACGTGAACTTAGCATTCCACATTAAGTTGGCCTGTATGCACTTCATTTGGCCTGAATTAGGCCTAAAGAATCAGCAGGACATTGCCCTTATCCAGGCTGTTCTTCTAGAAGCCACCAAGGAAGATGGTGAGGTGACCTGCAGCCAGAAAGACTTTCCAGGGTGGTGTTTTGGGATAGAAATTCCCATAAATTCCATGAGGCCATTTCTGTGTTTGAAAAGCCCAGTGGAAAGTGACTGGTGCAGTGAGGCTTTCTCATTCTCCAGATCCTGCTCCATGTCCTCAGTGATAGGCAATTCCAATACCGGTTTGTGGAGCCAGTGTCACCTGCAGCCCTGGGTGCACCAGGATCTCTAGATTCAGCACCAGGGCCTGTGACAGCATCAGGGGAAGAGCCCCCTCCAAGAACAATGCTGGAGCTACATCCAGTCCCAGAATGTCCCTGGCCCTGTCCTGGGACTCAAGAACCATCCCAGTGAGGAGCTGCCTGACAGCATGGTTTTGCATGCCAGGCTGCTGGTAGAGCAGCTGACTCTGATAGATGCAGTTAGCCACTGGGCTCTGCAAGGTGGGAAGGGGGCAGATTCTGCCTCTGAGACCAGCAGTTTCAGACCAACCATTCCCTGACCAGCATCCAGTGTCAGGTCCTCATCTTACTAACCACATGATCTGGATGAGTTTTCTCACCCAAAAACGTTTTCTGTCCATATGTGGATGGTAGAGATGGGACACGAACAGGGCCAGCTGCACAGAGTGACTGAGCAGGTTGAATGAGAAGGGATTAATAAAAAGCAGGGCAGAGGCCTGGCCCATGTGATGGAGGCCTGAGCCAGGTGGTGGTGGCAGTGCTCAACCACAGGTCATTCACCCCACTTCCCAGTAGCCCCACTAGCCACAACACTTATTAGGCACCTGATGCATACTAGATTCTATGGCTTATATACAAACAGAGCCCCTAGTTGCAACTGCCAAGAGGAATGTGCATCCAAATGAAGAGAAGAAGCAGGGCACTGATCAGGATGCGAGGAAAATGTGGCATCAGGATGGGCAGGCCTGAGTCACCTTCTGGTTCACACAATGAGTGAGGATGGCTTCCGCAAAAATGTCACTCTCTCTTCCTGTCCATGTTGAGTTCTGGGCCATCATGTATTCAGGGCCAGCAGTGAGCAGACAACCAAACCCAGAGGCCTCCATGATCTGAAGACAATTTTATAGCTTTCTGAGCTACAACTCAGTCCGTCTGGGATTGTAGGTGACTCTGAGCTGAGGTTTGCCGTGTCCCTGACACTTTCCTCCTCCCCAAGATCTATTCAAGAAGGTGGTGTCCTATGAATGCTTGGGCTCCAGCTGGCCCCAGCTGAATAAGATGATCAAGGAGCATGTGTCACTCACTGTCTGTGCCCCTATTACCCAGTTTCACAGTGTGATCAACTGTGTCATCACACGTTACTTTGGGGACCACAGCATGAAGGCCTGGGGTGAGGTCCAGGGTGGTGCAGCACTGGATTAAGGTGGCCAGGGTAAGCCATGGGAAGGCCTGGGGATTCCCTGAGATGTGGTAACTGTCTCTTCTCCATCAGCTCTCAGGATTGGCATCTGTGGTCTAAGCCCTGCACATCCCCTAGGTGCTTCGTGCCAGAAGCTCACTGACATTGACTCCCACGGCCCAGTCGTGGCTGTTCACTTCCTACCTGGGCTCCTCCTTGGGTTGAACAAAAATCCTCATGTGTGACACCCATTGGGCCCCAGCTGTGCCATCCTGTGGCTCTCTGGGCCTCTCCCTCACCCAGACGGGGAGACATCAGCTCAAAAGGCTGAAGCTAGAGAAGGTGTAGCTCCAATGATGGGCCTCAGGGCTCATACTCTTTCCTCCCAGGAGAGCCTTAGCACTAGAAGTTCTCCTAACCCCACGCCATCCTTTCTGCTATGAAAATCACTTCAATCAATTGACTCAAGAAGATGTAGGGAGTTTTGACCTGGGGTGCCTCATTTCACAGGAGCCCCAGGATGGACCACAGATCTCCTCCCTGATAAGATTCAAGATGCTTTCTCAATGATGCAGGGAGATTCTTGGACACCAGGGACACTAGAGGCAGGGGTAAGCTGGTGGATGAAGTCTTTAAGCTGTCCTGGAAATTTAAGTCAGGATTTCCAACTAAGGACTAAGGAATTTTGAAACATCAGGAACAGGTTGAAGTAAACTGGAGGCCTTTCAGGTGTTTGAACACAGCAATGAAACTCTGTGCCCAACCGATTTCTAAGCTGTGTCAACACACAGTGGCTCAAAAGAGGTGGGGATGAGGCCCAAGGGACCAGCATGAGACCTCCCACCCTTATCACCTGGGGCCAGTGGGTCTCAGAACACCCCACTGGCAACTCTTATCAAGGCAGCTGGGTTCCATTGGGATCTCAAATAAAAGGAATTTTAACTCACATGCCTCCACCATTATTTCCAAATGTATCCTTCTTTCTTTCCTCTCTGCATAAGAGCAGCTCCAGAAAATATAAAGATCTGTTCAGTAAAGACATTAAACTGAGTGGAGACCTGCTCATGAAGGTACAGTGGAAACTAGAAGATGAGAGATCCTTCTGCATTGTAGAGCATGGAAAAGGGTGAGGTTGGAAGGGGTACTGGCCCTGGTGTATTTCAAATTTTCTTACTGAAAATTGGCTTGAAATACTGCAGCAGTGTCTATTCTGGACCAACAGGAAGAGCGGTGTGTTTGTCAATGGGCAAGTCTGGGCATGGGGGCAGCATGCCCTGGAAATGGAATGTGGTGATGGTTGCTGAGCTGCTGAGCGAAGGTGATGAGCTGCAGCATTGGCAGGGCTCTGGCTCCCAGGCTGGTCCATTCTGCTGGCATGGAGCTTCCTCCAGGCTGTGGGTTGGACATGGTAGATGAGGCTTCCTTCCTTCCTGTAACTTGCCTAGCAGTTCCTCAGGAAGCCAGTTCCCTGTTTCTGCTTCTGTCTGCACTGTAACTCCATGAAGATGAGCCCTCTACCTGCACCAGCAGTGAGGACAACAAAGGAACCTCATGCGCCAGGGAGTCCAACATGCTCTCCAGCTTTGGGTCCCAATGGGCACACTCTTGGGACAGACGTGCATGCATGTGTGTGTGTGTGTGTGTGTGTGTGTGTGTTTGCTGAGACTCCCCACTCTGCCCTTTGCAGACACCAGGAAATAATCACATCACAGGACGCTCACTGGTTAGCACTGAGACATGCTCCAGTTGGCTCATGAGAATTACCTGGGGACTCACATATCCCTAGGGGATGTTTCCTGACCAGATTTCAGAACCTTCCATGCAAAATGAAGAAGCATCATGTCACCCCATTCTGGAAAAAACCCTGCTTTGTGACTCAGAGACAGCCCCTCAGGCAACTACTCTGTGTGAAGGAAGAGACAATTCTGTGCAGGGCACTTCCTTGGAAAATCATTGGGGAGGTAAAGCCTTTGGCATTGCCTCAAACCCAGATTATGGGGCAGAGACTCGAGTGGGGCTAAGACATGCAGGTGCCACTCAGACAGGTCTCCTGAGACACACTGTCTGACTCCCATCACAATGGTTTTTGGCTGGAGGTCTGGACACTCAGGCTCCAGAAAACATGACCCTAATAGGGAGTGGTGCTGGGGTGTGGGGTGAAAGCATCTGGGAAAGGTCCTCCAGATGGTGTTAGAGTCGACCTCTCTGTGAGGCCAGTCCTCCAGGGCCCAAGGGCAGTGAGGTTGGGGTATAAATGAGTCAGAAGAGAAGAGCTTCTCTGACTTTGTTCTTGACCTGGCAGGTGATGATCTCTGGCCACCCAGGAGAGGAACCCCCAGACAGCCCAGATGAGGGTGCAGAAGCAGAAGGAGGTGAGTGAGCCTGTGGCTGCAGGGAGTCAGAGGACAGGGCCCCTCCTTCCCAGGGGAGGCCTCCATCTTAAGAGAGTAGGGACTTCTTTCCCAGCCCTGGCTTACTGTGGCCACAGGACTTGAAACGTCTCCATTTGTGAGACCTGAGCAAGGGCCAGGAGAGCTGGGCTCAGAGTAAATGTGGAGAAGGGTAGAGCTGGGGCCACACACCCTTGTGACTTCTTAAAATTTCAACCAGAGAGGTAACTAGAGGAGTGCTTGGTGGCCCTGGAGGCCAGCTGGGAAAGAGGAAGGAGAGTATTAGGAGAGGCAGCTGCTCCAAGTTGGAGACCTGAGGAGGGAGTCTGGGAGACAGGGGTTGATGGGATTTCATGGGACAGAGTCTTGGGCAGGCACCTAAGGGCCAGTGCTCATCACAACTATTCCACCGTGGCACAGGGGGTGGTCCCCTTCCTGGGGAGTTTCCTCACCAGGTGATGCTGGACACTGCCATGAAGGACTATGTGGATGTAAGTGAGCCTGGAGCAGGCAGGATGGGGACCAGGATCCTGAGGCTTGGGAGGAGAGGATCCTGAACTGAGCCCTTGATGTGAGCCCTTAGCAAACCTCCTCTCCTGAGAACCCCATGGCTGCCCCTCTGAGTGGGGGTGTTAGGCCCATCTCATCCTTAAATAATGGAGGCTCTAGGCAGCCACCATTCTCTGACCGTGATTGGGGAAGCTGCAAGCTGTCTGACTGCCAAGGTTTCTGCCATATGGGCTAAGCAGAACTCAGCCTCTCCCTTGGATGAGACCAATGGCAGAAGAGTAAAACTGAGCTTCTTCAAGACCAGGGAATTCCTGAGTGGCTGAGCACATTATTTCTACAGGCATCCTCAGTTTCCAGTGTGCCATGAGAGAGGGCCTGGGGCCTCTGAGATCTCTGAGCCTCAGCTTCCATGTCCCTTTCTCTACAGCCCCGTGCCTGATGCAGGTCCAAGTCCTGTTGGGTGCACATCCCCTGACCCTGGTGACACTGGCAGCAGCATGTGAGGGGTTGCAATTGGGGCTGGTCATGGGCCAGGAGGCCTTTCTGATGGACTAAGTTTGCCTTACACGAAAATGTGATTGAAACAGAAAAGGAGGAAGGTGAACATCTGGGGGTGTGCAAGGGTGGGGACATGGATGTCAAGAGACCCCACTGTGCAGGACACTTCCTGGCTCCATCCCCTGCATCTCAGATTTATTGGAGGGGTGTGATACACAAAGGAGGAAAATATGTATCCCAGTGGAGGGTGCACGTAGGGGACTGGAATGAAGTACTAATTCCTGGAGATGGGGCTATTTACACCCAACTCTCAGAACAGGTGTGTGATGCATGAGGCCTCTTAAGAAAACAGTCCCAGAAACCAGCCCCTGCTCCACCCTCCCCAAGGACACCCCCTTCAGCATCTTCTGCCAAGGCCCTGTCAGCATCCTGTCCTCTCTCTGTCTCTAGGGAGGTCCAAGTCCTCCAGGAGATGCATCTGCTGCAAATGGCTGCAGAAAACTACCACCTTCCACCTAAGGAGCCATTTTAGGTCTGGTTCCAGGCAATGGGGTGGCTCAGTGAGAAGAGGTGAGGGTCTAGCAGATGGGCAGAGGGAAGGGAGAGGCCATCTTATGGCCAGCTACAGAGAGCCTGTGACCATGGCTCCCTGGCCAGCATCAGGCTTTGTTGCATGGAGACTGCTGGAGCCCCAGGACTCCAGCTGGGCAGGCATGGATAAAGAAACTCTGGTGTGGCTCCTGGTGGCCTCACAGCTTCCTCTCTATTCTACAGCTACAAGCTGCCATGTGGCTGAAGCTCCAATTCCAGTAGGCCTGCATCACACATTCAGCACCTGCAGTGGCTGGGACCCCACCAGGATGCTGCCCAGAACATTAGCTCTGCAGCATCCTTGACCCAGACAGCAGACACCAGGGGACAACCTCTAGGTAGATGGCAGCTCAGCTACATGAGGTCCGTTCCTGCTGCTGAAGACCAACAGCTCCTGCTGACCGGGATCAGGCTTTGGAACTCCTACAAGTGCGACAGGAGACCATGATCATTGGTTAAATGTCCTCTTGTTATAGTTGTTAAGTTGGTTATTTTTAAAAATTTTTTCAGTAGAATAAAACTATGAAAAATGTCCTATAGCTGCTGGAATGATAAAAGTAACTCTAATGCAATAACAGTAAGGCAATCTTTTACAATTCTTAGTCTGTCACATTTGGGACAATATCAAACTCTAGAGATTGTGCACAAGAGAAAAAAAAACCACCCAACAGCTTATAAGGAAGATTTGGTCAAACATACATCTGATAAGTGGTTGTCTTTGTACAGGTCTAAGCAGCAAACTTTACTGACATAAACAAAAAACAAAAGTGAAATTATTCACCAAACCAAAATGGGCAAAATAACTTGAATATACTTTTCTGCAAAGAAAATATAACATTGAAAACAACATCATTACTCATGAGAAAAATGTCAACCAAAATAACACACATACAATTTCACTCTAATTGAAATGAATGTGACTAGAAACATAGAAATTATTAAAAGAGAGAGACAAATGTTCATGTTGATTTCTAAGGATGGGAACTCTCACCCACAATTTGTGGGAATGTAAATTAGTATACACACTACAGAAACAAGTGGGAGGTTGCTCCAAACATTAAAACTACAACTACCATTTCATCTATCTACTACTGGGTACACGTTCCATGCAAATGCAATAAATACATGCAAGACTTATCTGCTTTCCCATATAGACTGCAGCACCATTCACTGTAGACAAGATAAGAAATCGACCTACTTATCCATCCACAGAAGAAGGGATAAAGAAAATGTAGTATATGTACACACATGAAATATTCTTGACCAATCCAAGATGGCCAAATAGGACAGCTCTGGATTGCAGTTCCCAGCAATAACACAGAGGTGAGTGATCACTGCATTTCCAAACAAATTTTTACTGCCCACAGACCAGGAGATTCCCAGGCAGAAAAGCGCCATGAGTCTCCAGTGCAGCTGTTTCAGCCAGTGCAGTGGGTCTCCACACAAAAACTCACACAAATCCAGGTGCCATTTCAACTGGTGACTGGAGCACCTGGGAGATAGAGCCAACAGTTCAACTGAAAAAAAGGGGGCTGAAACAGGGAGACAGGTGATCTGTCTTGGCTGGACCCACCCCTACAAGGACCAGCAATCTGAAACGCTCTGGATTGAAAGTTTCACAGCAAGCACAGCTGGACCCAGGATGGTCCAGCTCTGTGGCGGGAAGGGCATCTGCCATTGCTGAGGCAGTCCACCAGTACTGAGGCAGTCTGCCATTACAGAGGCAGTCCACCATTACTGAGGCAGTCCACCATTATCAATGCATTCCCCTATTACTGAGGCAATCCACCATTACTGAGGCAGCCTGTCATTACTGAGGCAGACTGCCATTACAGAGGCAGTTCTAACTAAATCCCTATAAACAAAACTGCAAGGAAATTCACACAGCAGCTGGGCAGAGCCCACAGGAGCTCAGCAACAGCTCTGCTGGCAGACTGTGACTAGGCTACCTCCTCTCTGGGAAGGGCATCTCTGAAAAAAGGCAGCAAAATTACAGGAACTTACAAATAAAGCCCCACCTTCCTGGGACAGGGGACCAGGGAAAAAAAGGTGGTTATGAGTTCCACTGCAGCAGACTTAAACATAACGGCCCAGCAGCTCTGAACAGAACAACAGAGCTCACAGCTCAGCACTTGAGTTCCTATATGGGATAGACTGTCTCCTCAAGCATCTCCCCAACCCTGAAATAACCAGAGACACCTCATAAAGAAGAGCTAAGGCTGACATCTGGCAGGTACCCTTCTGGGACTAAGATAACAGAAGAAGAAACTGGCAGCCACCCTTACTGTTCTACAGCCACTGCAGGTGATCCCAAGCCAAGCAGGATCTGGATTGGACCTCCAGCAGTCCTACAGCAGGGGGGCCTGACTGTTAGAAGGAAAATTAAGAAACAGAAAGAAATAACTTCATCAGCAACAAAAAGGACATCCACTCAGAGACACCATCTGAAAGTCACCAACAACAAAGACCACAGGTACATAAATCCACAAAGATGGGAAGAAACCAGCACAAAAAGGACGAAAATACCCAAAACCAGAATGCCTCTCCTCCTCCAAGGCATCATAACTCCTCACCAGCAAGGGAACAAGGCTGGATGGAGCATGAGTCTGATGCATTGACAAAGACAGGCTACATAAGGTGGGCAATAACAAACTTTTCTGAGCTAAAAGATCAAGTTGTAACCCAAAGCAAAGAAACTAAGAACCTATAAAAAGGTATGAACAAATACTATCAAGAATAAATAGCTTAGAGAGGAATATAAATGAATTGATGGATCTGAAAAACACAACACAAGAACTTCACGAAGCATACAAAATTTTCAATAGCCAAATTGACCAAGCAGAAGAAAGGATATCAGAGATTGAAGATCAACTCAATGAAACAAAATGAGACGGCAAGATTAGAGAAAAAAAGTAAAAATAAAGGAAAAAAGCCTTCAAGAAATATGGGATTATGTGAAAAGACCTAATCTACATTTGATAGGTGTACCTGAATGTGACGGAGAGAATGAATCCAAGCTGGAAAACATTCTTCAGGATATTATCAATGAGAACTTCCCCTACCTAGCAAGGCAGGCCAACATTCAAGTCTGGGAAATACAGACAACACCACAAAGATATTCCTCAAGAAGAGCAACCCCAAGGCACATAATCATCAGATTCACCAGGGTTGAAATGAAGGAAAAAATACTAAGGGCAGCCAGAGAAAAAGGTCATGTTACAAAGGGAAGCCCATCAGACTCACAGCAGATTTCTAAGCAGACCCTACATGCCAGAAGAGCGTGGGAGCCAATATTCAACATCCTTAAAGAACTTTCAACCTAGAATTATATATCCAGCCAAACTAAGCTTCATAAGCAAAGGAGAAATAAAATTTTTTATGAACAGAGATTTCATCACCACCAGGCCTGCCTTACAAAAGCTCCTGAAAGAAGCACTAAACATAGAAATGAACCACCAATACCAGACACTCCAAAAATGTACCAAATGGTAAAAAGCATTGATGCAATGAAGAAACTGCATCAACTAATGGGCAAAATAAAAAGCTAGCATCAAAATGGCAGGATCAAATTTACACATTACAATATTAATCTTAAATGTAAATGGGCTAAATGCCCCAATCGAAAGGCACAGACTGGCAAATTGGATAAAAAGTCATAACCCATCAGTGTACTGTATCCAGAAACCCATCTCACATGCAAGGATACACAAAGGCTCAAAATAAAGGGATGGAGAAAGACTTATCAAGAAAATGGAGAGAGAGAGAAAAAAAGCAGGAGTTGCAATCCTAGTCTCTGATAAAATAGACTTAAAACCCACAAAGATCAAAAGAGACAAAGGAGGACATTACATAATGGTAAAAGGATCACTGCAACAAGAACTAACGATCCTAAATATATATGCATCCAATACAGGATCACCAAGATACATAAATCAAGTTCTTAATAATCTACAAAAAGACTTACACTCCCATACAATAATAGTGGGAGACTTTAACACTCCACTATCAATATTAAACAGATCGATGAGACAAAAAATTAACAAGCATATCCAGAACTTGAATTGAGACCAGGACCAAGCAAACCTAATAGACATTTACAGAACTCTCCACCCCAAATCTACAGAATATACATTCTTCTCAGCACCACATCACACCTACTTTGAAATTGACCACGTAATTGGAAGTAAATCACTCCTCATCAAAGGTAGAAGAATTGAAATCATAACAGTCTCTCAGACCACAGGGCAATCAAGTTAGAACTCAGAATTCAGAAACTAACTCAGAACCTCACAGCCTCATGGAAATTGAACAACTGGCTCTTGAATGTTGACTGGATAAACAATGAAATGAAGGCAGAAATAACGATGCTCTTCGAAACCAACGAGATTGAACACACAACATACCAGAATCTCTGGGACACATTTAAAGCAGTCTCTAGAGGAAAATACATAGCAATAAATGCCCACATGAGAAGCAAGGAGAGATCTAAAATTGACACCCTATTGTAAAAATTGAAAGAGCTAGAGGAGCACGATTAAAAAAACTCAAAACCTAGCAGAAGACAAGAAATAACTAAGATCAGAGCAGAACTGAAAGAGATAGACACACAGACAAAAAAAATCCTTCAAAAATCAATAAATCCAGAAGCTGGTTTTTCAAAAAGATCAACAAAGTATACCACTAGCCATATTAATAAAAAAGAAAAGAGAGAAGAATCAAATAGGTGCAATAAAAAAACAATAATGAGGATATAACCACAGATTCCACAGAAATACAAGCCACTGTCACAGATTACTACAAACAACTTTATATACATAAACCAGTAAACCTGGAAGAAATGGATGTATTCCTGGACACTTGCACCCTCCCAAGCCTAAACCAGGAAGAAGATGAAACCCTGAATAGATCAATAACAAAGGCTGAAGTTGAGGCAGCAATTAACAGCCTACCAACTAAGAAAAGCTGGGGTCCAGATGGGTGCACAGCCAAATTCTACCAGACATAGGAGCTGGTACCTCTCCTTCAGAAACTATTCCAAACAATGCAAAAAGAGGGAATACTCCCCAAATCATTTTATGAGACCAAAATCATCCTGACACCAAAACCCGGCAGAGACTCAACAAGAAAAAAAAATTTCAGGCCAATATCCATGATGAACCTCAATGTAAAAATCTTCAATAAAATACTAGCAAACTGACTGCAACAGCACATCAAAAACCTTATCCATCATGATCAAATAGGCTTCATCCTGAGGATGTAAGTCTGGTACAACATATGCAAGTCTAGTAATGTAATTCACCACATAATTCACCAGAACCAAAGACAAAAACCACATGAT